AGTTGAAATCCATCCTCCTACGATTGGAGTCACGAAGGGAAGGAAAAAGAGGATTAAGAGTGGTGTGGAGAAGGGTCAAGATAAACAAAAGCACACTCGACGTTGTCGTTCATGCAACAAAATGACTACGCATGACAGCCGTAATTGTCCATTGAAAAACAACAGGTTACTTTTAAATGTTTCATTTTAGTTGTTTCATTTAACTTACATTTAGATTTTAACAATCCTTCTTTTATAGCAAAAGCAGCAGTGATGAAGAGTAACCAAGTGCTCAAAATCTTTACAATTGGACTGCTAGGGTTTCTTGAATCACCATTACAAACAGCCAAGTTCAAGCCGTGCAGTGAGCTCCGGTAAACTGCAATCATGTCAAATCCTTCTTCTTCTTCTTATTCTTCTTTTTTTGTTTAATTCTGTGTTCTGAAGAATTCATATCTGGGTGTCAAGATTTCTTTCTTTCTTTGATGTTACTGTCAATTTCTTTGTAAAAAAATGATTGGGTTTTTCTTTCTTTCTAGTGGGTTTTTGAACAAACACGACTCAATTTGATCCAGAAATCGTTTAGCACAGTGATAATTCTTTGGATTCCCATATTTCTAAGATGCATCTTCTTCATCAATTTGAGTCCAGTCCAATTCATTGCAATCCTGAGTCTTTGAAATGATAACAGAGTCGTATTGATCTTGCTGACTCAGAGGTCCTAAAGCTCAGCTTTCAGTTGAGTTTGGTTCTTTGGTTGTAAATTTATGATTGGGTAGGAGTTTCTCAGTTAGTTAAGCTCATGAAGGGCATGTTCATCGTCTGTAATTTTTCGATGTGGCAATCTAACACACCAAAACCATCTCCATCTTCTTCATCTGGTTCTAGAATCAGCCCGGCACTTCTTCTGAATAGTTTTTGTACACTTATGTTGCTTATTATTTGGATTATTAATGTTGTTGCTTTGGTCATGTGGGAGGCTGATTTGCTTTGCTCTTTTTACAGTGACTATCACCTGTTAACTTGGAAGCAAAACAACAATAGGGAGGTCTAGCAGCTACTGTTTAGAGATTAGCAGAAGCCGAAGTTGGAATTTGAGCTCTGTATATGCCTACTCTTCCGTCTTAGTGTCTTTTTTATTGTGGGCTATGGAAAAAAAAAGGGGAGTTGAATGCTTTGAGAGGTTTTATTTTTTGGTTGAAAGAGTAGTTTTAGAAATTTTAAGACTTTAAGCTAGAGTTTTTTTTTTGGTTCAAATGGAAATGATACTTGATGTGTATCATATTAGCACTTTCTTCTATGTTCTATGACTAATATTTATAAACTCCATGTCAATTTGCTTCTTTTGATTTGGATTTCTGTTCTACTTCTTTAAATTGAG